TTTTTTTTCTCTCAGTTTAGAAAGCTGGAAGTCTATGCTCAGTGCACCGGCTCTCCAAGGCTTTCTCTGTCTGTCAGCTCTGGGGGCAGTTCCCTGTCTCTTTAAGCTTCTGCTTCTGACTGGGTGGCCTTCATGTGGCTGTCCTTCATGTGGCTGGCCATGTGTCTTCACTTACCTCTGCTTCTCTCACTTGCTTGCATAATCTCTTTTATATCTCAAAAGGCATTGATTTAAGACAAACTCGACACTAATTATGTCTCATTAATTAATTAAACGAAGACAGCCCATTCCCAAATGGGATTATAACCACAGGCATGTTGCTGTTAAGTGTTGCTGTGAAAGGTTCTGACTTGTAGCCACCCTATATGGGTTTCCAAGGAGTGACTGGTGGGCGTGAACTGCCAACCTTGTGGTTAGCAGTTAAGAGCTTATCCTACAGCGCCACACCAGGTCTCCAACCACAGGCATAGAGGTTCAAACTTGGCTGCAAATTTGGCCCGAGGGTGAGTTCCTTTCCAGTCCTGAAGGCGGGTCAAGGGTCATAGTCTTGGGTTCCTCCAGTCTCTTTCTGACCAGTAAGCCCAGTCTTTTTTCAATTTAATTTTATTTTATAATTTTGAGTTTTTTCCCACATTTTCTCTTATTCTACATGGGACCTCATAATGTGATCCATTTTGCAGCAGTTGTTGTTGTTGTTGTTGTTAAGTGCAGTAGAGGCTATAAATTGTATTTAGACCACACAGCCTCATCCTTTTTTCCTTGGAGCAGCTGGTGGATTTGAACCATTGATTTGTGGTCAATAGCCCAACAGTTTCAGTCAGCACAATGGAAACTTACCATTAAATGCATCAAACCATGTGAGACCTGAGCAACATGTGATAGCATCTGCATTCTGTCAAGTCCGTTCCCACTCCTACAGACCCCACTAACAACAGAACAGAATACCACTAAGTTTGCACCATCTACACATTCATTGCTATGTTTAAACCCATGTGGCGACTACTGTGCTAACCCATCTCACTGAAGGTCTTCCTTTTTTTTTGCTGACCCTCTGCTTTACCAAGCATGATGTCTTTTTCCAGAGATGGGTCCCTCTAAATAAGTTGTCTAAGAATATGAGACAAAATCTGGCCATCCTTGCTTCTAAGGAAGAATCTGGCTGTACTTCTTCCAAGACAAGTTTTTTGCTCTTTTGGCAGTCCATGGCATAGTCAGTATTCTTTGGCAACACCGTAATTCAAAATGGCATCCATTCTTCTCTGGCTGTCCTTATACATTGTCCAACTTTTTCATGGTTGTTGTTGTTGTTATGTGCTATGGAGTCGGTTCCGACTCATAGTGGCCCTGTACAGGGTTTCCGAGGCTGTAAATCTTTATGGCAGAAGAAAGCCTCATCTTTCTCCCTCGGAACAGCTGGTAGTTTCGAACTGCTGATCTTGAGCTTCACAGCACGATTCGTAACCACTATGCTACCAGAGCTCCTTTTTTCATGGTTAGGAG